CCGGACTCTGCTCCATCGAAAAAAATCATTTGTCATTGGTTTGCTGAATTTAAACGTTGTCGTATAGACTCCGATGATGGTGAACGTTTTGGTCGTCCAATTGAGGTGGTTATTCTAGAAAACATCAAAAAAGTCCAGAAATTGGTTTTATCTGATCGTAAATTGAAATTGCGTGAGAAAGCTGAGACCGTAAAGATATCAGAAGGCAGTGTGTTTACAATTATGCATGAATATTTGACAATGAGAATACTCTTTTCAAAGTATGTGCCACGTTTACTCAGTCGATCAAAAACAACAACGTGTTGATTATTCAGAGCAGGGTTTGGCCATATTTACACGTAATAAATCAGATTTTTGCGCCGATATGTGACAATGAATGAAACATGGGTCCATCACTTCACTCCGGAATTAAAACGATCATTATGTGAGTGAACTGCAGCCGGTCCGAAGCGTCCAAAGACACAACAATCAGCTGGGAAGGTTATGGCTTCAGTATTTTGGGATGCACATGGTATAATCTTCATTGACTATTTCGAAAAGGGAAAAATCATCAATAGTAACTACTACACGGCATTACTGGATCGTTTGAGAGCAGAAGCTGTGAAAAAACGACCGCATATGGCGAAGAAAAAAATTTTGTTACACCAAGGCAATGCACCATGTCACAAGTCAATAAAAACGATGGCAAAATTGCCCGAATTACAGCGACTACTCGCCAGTAAGAAAATCATCTTAAATGAAGAAGTAATTGCCGAAATTGAAGTCTATTTTGAGGTAAAAGACAAATCCTTCTACAAACACGGCATCAAGAAGTTAGAGAAGCGTTGGAATGATTGTATTACCCTTGAAGCAGATTATATTGATGAGTAAAATCGATTTTTGGCAGAAAAAATTTGTTTTTCTTAGTTACTCACATGACTTATTGATTGATATGTTAATATGGACACCCGCATCCATTTTCTTCTGATGTCTTCGACATCGTCATAGAAATGATTTTCCGCAGAGTAAATGTTCATCATAACGGTACAATGTTTTACATATTCGTTCAGTTACTTATGTATGCCGAGGACATCATCATTGGGCATGGTAAGCTTGACGTTACAGCTGTTTTTGGTGCTATCAAAAAGAAATCTGTGGAAATGAGCTTAGCAATGAATAAGAGCAAAATGAAGTAAATGTCGCCTGCAAGTAGACATGTGCGTCGCTTGGACTCCGAGCTAATGATTGGCGACTATATTTTCAAATGTCAAGAATTTTATTTACCTTGGCACCGCCGTTATGAAAAACAAAGATAACTTACAGATCAGAGATATGCTCTTACAGGTGTCTCATCCTACCTGTGCTTCTGTATTCCGCAGAAGCATATACGTTATCACAGAATGAAGAAACTGCACTGGATGTTTTCAATAGCAAAGTTCTTTCATTAAAATAAGCATTGAAAACAAAAATTGGCGTTAAGCAAAACAAAGACTTGATAGTCAAAGGTCGTAAAATTAACAATCAGTTCAGATCATTTTGTAAAACATACTGTATCGGAAAAGAGGTTTACATTATTTTAATCATGTTTTCAGACAAAAACACTCCTTTACTTGGAAAAAAACCGCCAAGTTGAAGCTTGTCATACATTACTTGCTGACTAATGTATGACTAATGCATGGAAAATGTAGATTAAAATTGGATCTATGTATACTACCTGGAAGTAACTAAATAAAAATGTTTGCAGTTTCTAAAGGTAAATCAAAATTTTACTTTGAATGTTTTAGAAAAAAAATTAAGTACTGATTTAGTATTCATGACATTTATGCAGACTCATGTTCTCATGAACATTTTAAAGTGTATAAGATTTAATAGATACTTATAAAACTTATATATCTTCCTAAATATCAAAACGATCCCATTGTTTGATTATATATAACAAAAATTAATAAGTCAAACCATTGATTTGAAATTTTGATGTTTTAGGAGAAAAAATACTTAACAATTTCTTTGAGTTGCTTTATACAAAAATTCCTTTTTTAAACTCGATACACGAAATGCTTTCAAAATTATATTTCGAAAATTTAAACTGATCACAGTATTTACACTACTACTTTGCACAATTTAAGCCTCTATGCATTTAGATAGTATAATCTATGTCAGTATGTATGCGCACACTCATATTTATCATACAGAAACAAGAATTTTATACCATCCATTCGGGCTATAATGAAGTTGCCGGAATCACTTCTTTTTAAAGCAGCTGTAAACGTATTTTACAGGAGATTACATACACGTTTTAAAATTTTTTTTTTTCATATATAGTAGAGGCTCACAAATAAGAACCACCACTTAATTTCTGCACTTTTTTTATTTCTATAAATATGATGATAAAAATTAAAACTTTACATAAACACTATTTTACAGTTAAAATCAATTCTTATTAGGCATTACTGTATAAAGTAATCAGACAACAAACAAATATAGTCAAATTTTTTACAATGATATCGTTACAGTTATTGTTACTTTGTATTGTTACTTGTTTTGAACACTGCACATCGTTATTAGGATATACTTCATCATAACTTACTTTGTCTTTGTCTCTAATATTGGTCCATTAAGTGTATACGTCATTTTAGGCTTATTTAAAAACCATTGAAACAGATATTTTTCAATCAGAGGATATTCGGCATCAAGCAAAGATTTTTTGCTTCCTTTTTCTTAACTTTCAGAAATTATAGCCTCCTTTTTGGAATTAATGTATGTAAGTGATAGCAGATTTTATCACATTATATTCTAAAGTTGAATAATTTGCTTTTACGCCCTTATCAGGTTTTTCTAATATCACTGCTTTAGTATGTAAAGATAATTTTTTTTTTTTTTATAATTTTTACTTTTAATCAAAGGTGTATACGCCGGTACACCTCAAGTTATTATAAAGTAATGCACATAATAATTAAAGTGTGAATTTTGACAATGCCATTTTTTCTAAACAAAATACGAACAAAAACACTTACAACAACTTACTAATTTATACAAAACAAGAAAAAAATTGAAAACAGAATTCGTTCAAAAATTAGAACCAAACTTTTTAATTTAAGAGCTTTTAGTGAATACAATATATTGAAATATTTTGGTTCTAATTTCTGGACAATTCGAAGATGTGAAACAAACGTCGAAAAGTCGACAATAGTTATATAGACTTCTGCCTTTTTATCAATTAAACTATTAAAAAAAGAACTAAAACTACTCCAAAAGTTTTTAACAATTTTACGCAATTTTGCATACATTAATGAAGCCATCATTTCAACACCAATGGACGGACAAGCCTTAAATCCTATTTACAAAATTCACCAATACCTAATTTGCTGTATTTGACCAAGGACCTCAATAATATTTTTGTTTTTAGTAGGGACCACAAAGTTTAAGTAGTGACAAATAATATACTGATTGCAAATGCAAAACAAAAAGTGACTTCAATGATTTCATAGCAGCCAGCTAAAAGCACATATGACCTTTGGATTGTAAAACAATTAAGGCATAGAAAAGCTACGTATAACACCATGATCTTAAGTGTTCGAAACATACAAAACAGCTGTTGTATGTTTCTGTTCGGATATAGTACAGCAATTGTTGCTAAATTTTCTACACATATTGTTGATTTGGGTGCTTGTGTGATTTATATGGAGATAATTTTGTTTTTGTATATATTCCTCGTAAAATATATGATTGATTTTGTGTGCATGCAATGCATAAGTTTTGCCAAATTATTATAAATTTGATTTTTGATAAATTTCTGGTCTCATACAAATATATGAGGTTTGCCTATTATGAGGTCAGTATAGGAGATATGGACCCATAAAGTTTTGAGAATTGCCATTATAGACAAATTTACAAATCGCCATATTTCAGGCTATATATGATAGAAACTTGAAATGTATTGCATTTAAAAGACAATTGATTGAACTTTCAGTAAATTGTTTAAACAATTGAGATTGTTTTTATTTCAGTTATTTGGATTGTTTTTTAATTATTTTATTTCTTTTTCGAAATTTTTAATTTTTTTTTCTCTCCCGCAAAACACATCAAGTACATACCTACTATATTTCCATTGAAGGAATTTTCAAAGAATATTGTACAAATATTCTTATATATTTTTAATTTCTATTAGTATGCGGATTTCAATTTACTTAGAATAAGTCCGTTTTACATTAATTTTTACGGATAAGCAAGCACTATTTGTCCGTTTTAATCACATTTGTAAACGTTGAAATCCGCCTCAGTTACAAGTTTCTATCATTCATATAGCCTGAGATATGGTCATTTAAAAATGTGTCTACAATGGCAATTCTGAAAACCCCATGGGTCCATATTTCCTGGGAAAAAACATACCGGTTCTTTCGGGTCTTTTTATTTTATGAAAGGAGCTCGTAAAAAAATTTCAGCCAATTCGAAGGTGATGAGGTCGTTTTTTTGTCAGAACCTGTCCGGTATGTAAAAGAATGTCCCACATACAGAAAAACTTAAAAAAAATGATAATACTTTCAAATCTTCATAAAAACTTCGTTATACAGAGATATAAGAGAGTACACTATAAAGGAATCCAACTGTACTTCATATTTTATATTAACAGTCAAGTTTACGTCAATTAATTTAGGTAATTTAGAAGAAAATAGCTTATTTTTAAAAACCATATCCATTTCTCATTACCATATAATTTGTTTTTTAGTATCGATCTTATTTTTAATATTTATTTTGAAATCATAAAGCCATTGGGTTTTACTGTATAAGAAATCAAATTCTTTATAATTGTTTCATATTTTACATTTGAAAACAAAATTTTACAAATAAATTCCATGTGTTGAACTGCTTCTAATGTTCGGAGATTTCGATTTTTAGACAATTTTTCCGCTTTATTACATTGTACATAGCTTATTTATATTTGAGTACAACAAGTTTAAATTTTACTAGTACTTTTAAATATTTATTTTTATTTTTCTTTGTTATTATGAGCGTTGTTACTATTTGTTTTCAAAAAAAAAAAAAAAAAATAAAAAACAAAACAAAAATAAAGTAAAATCAATTTATCTAGTAGTCATCTAAGTCGAAACATTCATTATCGATGTCATCTAATTGCATACTCTGGAAGTCCACTTTATAACGTAATATTCCTATATTCAAAATAAAAATAATACTTATGTGTTAAAACGAAAACATGAAAATAAATTATATACATATATACACATTATTATAATATATTAAGAAAACTTTATATAATCAAGATGAGGGTAAATCAAAAAACTTAATTTTAATAAGCAAAAAAAAAATATATATGAAAATGTATAAACAAAATTTACTTATTAAATATATGGATAATATTTAAAATAGACTTCGCCTTATATTTCTGGTTTTTTTTTTTAAATTATATTAAGGAAATCCACACAGCATTGTTTATTAGTAAACAAAAATAAACAGTACAATATCGAAACATATTGTACATGCAAAAAATATTAAAATATATATATATAAACTGTATATTTTTAATTTAAATGTACGAAATAAAATCGTAGCCCACTTTTCTGTTACTACAATCGGGTAGTAACTTCCAGAAGTACAAAACGATTGGAAAACGTCTGCGAAACGTTTACATACAATTCGATAGTGAAACGATTTAGCTATGCGCTCAATGCGAATTTTTGTAGTCGTTTTAAGTAGGGGTATTAATTAGAATATTGCAGGCTTGTTTTAACTTTTATATTGCAGGCTTGTTTTAACTTTTATATTGCAAAGTCGAATAATTGTATTTTATTTAAATATAAGAATATGTCCTATTATAAAAACCAACTTTTTTTATAATTTAAACATACATAACTTGGGCTATCTAAATAATGAACATTGCTATATAAACCAAAGAATAATTAACACTCATACACAAGTATAAAAAGCCTATATACAAATCGTTTCCAAAGCATATTGTACATAAACATTTTGAAACGTTTCCATATCGTTCTGTACTCCTAAAAGTACAAAACGGTTGTATGCTATGAGCTCCTGACCTTAGCGTACAGTACAGTGTACTGTTTCTTCGGCTAAAATTTACAAAACGAATGTACATTACAATTATCCGATGGTGGTGTACATATATAGTGCAAATAGTATTTTATACTTTTGGGATTTGTGTACACGCGCATAAATTTTATAAAATATTTATTTAGCTGAGTAAAATTTTTTTTTGTTTGTGCTTCAAATGTACGGAACGAAACGAAACACAGCGTACTGTACAGTTTGTTCGTTCTGTTTCTAATAACATAAATCCCGAATAAAATTTTCAGAAAATGCATACGAATACATACAATTTTCTATGTCTTAAATTTATATATTTTTTAAATTGTTTGTTAAAATTTCGGTTCATAGCGTGCACGTACGCAATTTCTGTTTTATACAAATTAAATTATTTTTATTAAAAAACTCTTTTTATAATTGTTTTATTTTATTTTATTTAATATTAACGTTTTTTAAATTAAAGGATGATACGCTGAAAAAAGTGCAACCCTTGTTTTTTTGTTAATATATATATATATATTATAATTCGTTATCTTCATTGGAATATAAAGTATTTTGAAAATCTTAACGGAATTAATTTCGTATGTTTATTTCTTAATACGATATCTACTAGACGTTGCATAAAATATAATTTTTGTTTTGTAGATTTTATTTAAAATTTACGCGATTCTAAATAAAATTTCAGCGAAATGTAAGTTGAACCTATTTAGCATCATGACATTTAGATGCTATTCTGTATGTATTATATTATTTAAAAAATTATATTAAATGTTTAGTAGTCATCGAGATCAACATCCTCCAAAGGCTCATCAGCTTGAAGTGATTGAAAATCTACTTTATATCGTAAAATACCTATATATTCATTTCAAATTACGTAAATATGTATTTTATAATGAATTTTAATAGCAATACATTACAGTTTTAGCCACATACAAAGGCAGCAATAAAAAGAAAGGAAAAAGCATTTAGATTTATTTTAGTAATGTAAAACATGTATTTTATTTCTCTATTATAAACATTATCCTTACCTCCAATACCTCCAAATCCCCTAACAAATTGGCTGCCCTCCTGAGATTTATCTGTAATAATCTCAAGCGTAGCACCAAACATTTTGTAATTGTTTGCTAACCATTCCAATAAAGGCTGTGATTCGATTAACTCCATCTCAACCCCACTCTACAAATATTTTGGTTACTTATTTATATTTTTTTTATTTTTAAGGATTATAAGAGAACACATACTCACCTCTTTATCAGTAAAATGCGATTTATCTTTTTCTTGCTCTGGTGTCAAATGTAAAACAGTAGTCGAAGTTGAATTAGCATGATTTTTTAAAACATAACGTTGAATATCTAAATTTTCCCAACATATAAGAGTTTCAACGGAACCTAGCTCTAAAGCACGTAATGTATCTTCTACCCCAAAACAATATTTTCCTGTATCCTGGGTAAAGCATAATATCGGTTACAACTAGATATGTTGGTTTTACTTGATTTATATTCACCTGAGATATTTCATCAAAATAGCGACCAATAAGTTTTTTTTCTTGAATGAACTTGACATTTTGTAGCGATTCTGCAGCTAACTCTATTGCTTGGTTGAAACCATTTTCTCCACCATAAGAGACGTCCACTAATTTTATAATTTTCGATTGCAATCTCTAAAACAATATATTTGAAAATTTAACAAAAATATATTGGTTTGTGGAGATAAGTATATATGTACAGTTTCCGATTAAAACAAAGAATGTAATAAAACTAATAAATAAATTCATTTAATTCATTTGTACTAAAATTTAGTTTAGTAATTCTTTTCACAGCATAACAAAGGAAAAACAGGAATCAGAAGGATTTAACTACAAATTTTAATTTTAATTAATATTTAATGACATAGTTTAAATGCATTATAGCATTATCTTAAAAAACTTAATGAAAAACAAAAATTACACAGAAAATAATTAAAATCAATAATAAACAATAATAATAAGACAATTTAGCAATGAATTAAAATTTTTATTGAAACTTGTTTTAGCAAAACAAAAATAACATGTGGTATACAGCCAGTTATTTACC